TGGGAAATTTGAAGTAATAAAAATATGATATGTGTCATTCTGCTTTCGCAATTGAACACATGGTAGATAATACTCTGCTTTTGTGCATTTAAATGCTTGTGTGAATATTACTAGAGACGGTGATATGTGTGTTTTATGTTATAGTTTTGTTGAAGTTATATTTTGGAATACAATTTGATTTATAGAAATTATAGGTTACTATATAGGCTAATACCATGAAATAGTTCTTTTATGTTGTTTGGTTGATTTGTTTGGCGGCATATCAACACATCTATGGGTCATTTAATGCCGAAATCTAAATTTGAACACAATTGTATGTCTTCATCTATAGATAAAATATATTGCTGGTCATTTTGCTTAAAAATGTATTGTTCATTTTACTTTGAATATGTATTGTTGGTTAATTTACTATAAAAATATATTGTTGGTCATTTCAATATAAATATATATTGTTGGTCATTTTTTTGGTCATTGCTGGTATTTCTACTGTGAGAATATATTGTTATACTTTAATAGTGTTTTGTTTGGGAGTTCACTGTTTGCTCATAGCTAAGACCCTAACAGCTGCTACCACCCTGCTCAGGGTAGACCTGGGAACAACAGCAATTAAGAGGTTCCTCAATACATCCAATGTCTTGATCAGAGGCCTTGGTGTCGGACGTAGTTTAAGCAGGATTAACATTTGAAGTACAAAAAGGACCAAAGTACAAAACGTGTAAGGAACTATTTAGAGAATTAGGCTACTAATATTTGTGCAAAAACTAAGTTACAAAACTATCATCAAAATCCGAAGGTGCTTATATGATTTCGTATAATTGCAATAAGACCTACTAAAATTATAATGCATTACTAAAAGAACATGTACTAATGGCTAAGAGTAGTTTTGTTGACATTGGCATAAACAGCCTCAGCCACTGAGAAAGGGACACAGTAATAATGATTTGCGAGGTAAGCATGCGAACCGATAGATTACGAAAAAAACAGCAGTACCCCACTGCTCAGCTGGAAGCATAGGAAATGCACTTCATATTGACCAGCAACCTTTAATCACCCACACGTCTATTGAATCATTTAAGGAATCAAGAAGAAAGACTGATGACAAGAAAGGTCATGTGGATTAAAAAAAGCGATCAGTGGCGTCACGATTTCCAGAAATAGCTTGCTTGCTTTTGAGATCATTGTGTTTTTGTCAACTGTTCCGCAGTGGTTGAGAAGTACGCCTGACGTGTTTGAAAGTAAAAAGTAATCTTCCCACTTTTGACAAGCCTGCGTCACATATTACTCTATGTGTCAATCTGATGCATTCGATTTTGTAGTTAAATTAAATAATCTCATGACAGATATATATACATCAATAATGGTACTGAGAAAACTGGCCGTTTCATCATGAGGACACATTTGGCATCCATTGACCTAGCATTCAGTTGAAGTCAGTTGAAATTTATAAAATCTTTCTCTTAAAACTTTTTTTCAGGAAAATAGCTCTCTCAAGCCTAGTCGCTCTTATCGCTATTTCCAGTATTAATGCGGAAGTCTCCTCTTGCCTTCAACTCCTTCCCAGTCGTCCAAGTGTCTAACACTCGCGGCTGATCAATAAGATGATCCACGTTGTTAATAGTTTTGATCATAAGGCTTGCAAACATCGAATGGTTGTTATAAATCATCGTATTGGGATTGTCCAAGTAGAATGAAGACACAAGAAAAAAAATAACTTGAATAAAAAATAAATGTTCTTTGTATACGTTCTTTTGTGTAGTACTTGGTTAGTTTCATCGTTAGAATTTATCAGTTTCTCATGCGGACAATTAGCGACTCAACCCGCTTTCCAAGTTACACGTGGCACTTCGGCTGGTTTGGTGAAGTTTGGCAGAAGGCTGATGTTGGATATTCTCTTCAGGCAGACAGTCACTTGGGGTTGTTTCTCGTTCGGCGTCTGGACCCACTGCTGATCGCTGCTTCGGTTCCTTGTATTTATTGACATTCACCTAAAACCGGGCGGGACGCGGTTAGGGGGCTCGGTGATTCTCCCCTCTTGCATCTCTAAATTGGGAGATTCCCCTTTCCTATGGGTAGCGGTCACAGGTATCGATCCGCCCCGATAACTTCTTCTCTCTCTTATTGGCATCTCACACCAATACTTTCAAGTGGGTGTGGCAATTCCTCCACCCACCTTGATATTTCATCTTGGCTATTTTTCGACCAATGGCTCTCGACGGTTTGGCGTGGCTTAACTTTAATATCATTAATCAAAAAGAATTATCATTTCAAGTTTTCCTACGCAAAATTTCACATTCCGGCTTCTTTGTTTAAAATCAGACATTGACCAGATGGCTCTCCTTGAATTTTGCTTCCAGATCAAATCTTACCAGTTCCACTCATTTCTGTTTTCGTGACCAGGGCCAGGCCATCAATCGATTGTCAAAAGATCGCCACTTGGCCTCTTGTGACAACATCGCTCTAAGTAATTCTTCTGGTTTTTGAGAATTAAGCTTTTGAAAAGGAAATCTTCATTCTTTCTAACGGTCTGTCCTTCATTCTATTCATTAACCCTTACTTTCCACTCACCAGCGCTAAATAGTTCCAACATCACCAGCGCTATCCAATAAAGTGTTGAAATTCTTCAAGTGATGTTGTTTCTGTTAATAGAATACCTAAATAATGCAGCAGCAAGGCCTTTGATCGGGAATATGGAGGTTTTGAGAAGCAAAATAAAAAAAAAAGGTTCCCAGGTTCACCATGACATGGGTGGTAGCACCTGTTAGGGGTTACAGCTATGGGAAAATAGCCAAATAAAAGACAACTGTACATTTTTAAAAAAATGATGATATTACCACCTTTACCTGAAAGTATAAAGAAATATGAATTTAAGTCAAAAAGCCTTAATAATGTGTTTAAAGCAAAAATCAATATTTATTTCCATTTCGAAATGATCAACAATATATTTTAAATAACTACGTTCGAAATATATTTGGCCTTAATAATAATGTTTAAAAGATTTCATTTCAGTATTAAATAACTCATGGAGGTATTGATATGCTGCTAAATAAAATCAGCCAACCAACTGTAGCACCAGTTCACAGTGTTCAAAGAAGGATGGTCTTTCTTAATGATCACAGATTCCACTTGTCCAAAACCATTTTAAACCATGATCTTCGAAATCATTTGTAGACAGCAAACATTGTAAATGTTTCTGACCAGGTTTGGCGTCAACCATGATAACGATCTGACGAAGCTATTTAAGAACATGACTCGAGTTTTCCGGTTGATGTTTTGGTTTGACAAATTCTAGCGCAACCTCTTCTGTGTTCAATTTCTTTATCTCCTGGGCTCAGTGGATAAAAGCCTTGGTTGAAATAATGCAACAGTGATTTGACACAAAGAGCTGTGAGTTCAATACCTGGCCACAACAGAGGGGAACAAAAACTGGGAGAGTTGAGTTACTAAATAGAAATAACTGAAACTGAAAAAAGAATGAACCGTGGAATTAGAACAATTTACGCCCATAGATTAAATAAAGGTTTCTGTTCAAAATTCCAACGTAGAACACCGGAAGAAGGCTATAGCGTACAACGGCCGAAAAGTTGTGGATATTACAATAAAGAGGAAAATAAGAGATTTTTTATTGATAGAAGTTCTACTATTTAACCCATACCTGTGAGGAGAACAGCAATTTATACGATTCCTAACGGTATTCGCACGTAAGTGAATGCAACTGAACTGATTAGTATTCGAACTCGGCTCTCTGACTTCCCAATACACAATCCCGCGAAGCGAAGCATTGACTCTCCCTATCTGAATAATGTAATTGAATAAAATAAGATTTAATTGCTTTGTAAAAATAAAACAGATAAACATAAAACGGACTCAAACTATATATATATATATATATATATATATATATATATATGTATATATTATATATATATATATATATATTTATTTTATATGTGCAGTACTTATTGGTGATAGAGTTAACATATTCAGTTTGTCTGATGATCACAAAAGTGTGAAATCTAGAGTCAAAAACTCATATCCATACTAATGAATATATGGACAAAGCCCGACAATTATTTAAAAGACATTTTTATGTTTATACATTCTTTTTTTATATATACAAATATTTAAGTAAATGCTCTCTTTATAATATTTGTATCTATAAAAAAGAATGTATAAACATAAAAATGTCTTAAAATAATTGTCGGACTTTGTCCATTTCATAATCTGTGACGTCATTTTTTACATTTGGATACGCATCGAGCAGATATGAATGTACGTGAGAAAATCATGGAAAATTGTAGTTTAAAAACAGTAAAATCGACCTTGCTAACCGAACGCACTTTTATGGCGAAATCGGCAAAAGCATGCCAGGCTATATGACAGCTTTCTTATAGGATACAGGTTCGATTCCTGTCGGAGGACGCATATTGTCTATGACAATTTCTCGGACATTCAGGCCGGAAAATGTTGTTAATACTGTTTATTATAAACAGAGCATTTACTCAAATATTGGTATCTATAAAAAATGTCTTAGAAATTAATATATATATATATATATATATCTCAACAAGTAAAATTAAATTTTATTCAGTTATATATTCAACATTATTTTCAGTGATTTGCCGCTAGTTAGTTTTGAGTAAAATTCCGCAAATTTTGTGTGAAAAACTTTTCGTCTCACGATTAAATCTGTCATTTAATTAGATAAAACTAAAAAAAAAAGCGTTTCGTATCGATCCCAAACGTTCAAACAACTGGGTTGTGGTGAATATGGCGGGTTGTGATAGAAGAGAAAACCAGGTTTTACTATCCTTGCTGTTCTTGCTAAATGTGGCCTTTCATTTTATGGAGGGGAACAACATTTTTCCGTCATCCACAGTGTACGCTGCCATTGCAGTTCAAAAACTAATGTTAGAATACACCAAGTTTATTCTTAACTACCACATATGATTAGATGTTAGGATGTTACGTTTGTCATTATAATGGATTCCAAGAACAGGAACTTATTCATGACTCGAAGAGAGAGAGAGAGAGGGTGAGGGTGAGAAAGAGAGAAAAAGAAAGAGAGGGAGAGAAAGAGAGAGAAATAGAGAGAGGGAGAGAGAGAGAAAGCCAGAGGGAGAGGGAGAGTAAGAGAAAGAGAGAAGGAGAGTAAGAGAAAAACAGAGGGAGAGGGAGAGATAGAAAGAGAGAGAGAGAGGAAGAGAGAAAGAGAGAGAAATAGAGAGAGGGAGAGAGAGAAGTAGTGAAAGCGGTAGAGAGAGAGAGAGAGAGAGAGAGAGAGAGAGAGAGGAAAGAAGGAAGGAATGAAGGAAGGGTGGAAAAATGTGAGAAAATTGTTTAACCTTTGAAGGAGAGTTTCTCCTATATCCCTCGTCACTTTAGAACACTGGCGATCATGTCACTCCCGTGATGTTTTTTTCTCACGTTCCTAATCACTCCCCCGTCACCGCGCACGTTCTGCTATCAATCTGCATAAGCTCATCAGGTAATTAACTCGCTGACTTTCCCTATATCTCTTCCCATTATTCCCGTGAGGTTTATGCTTTCCATGCCGTCTTTCCTCATAATGTGTAAAAAGAAATTTAAGCTGTATTTGCCTGATTTTGAGTATAAGTGTCCTTTTTGTTGCCATTTTCTTTAAGAGTACCTTCTTGCTTACTCGCTCTATGGAATTCTCACTATCCTTCTGTAGAATCGCATATCTTCTGCTTTCAGTTTTGTCCTCTCACCCATGCGAACATTGTCCAACATTCACTGCCATATAAGAAGATGCATATCATACAACAATTCAGCACGTTTTTCTTTGTGTTTAACGATTTTCCCCCGTTTCTCAGCATCTTGCTTAAATTTGGAATTCCTTCTTTGTAAGTCCAGTGCACATTGAGATCTCAGTGTCGTATATTTCATCATCTGTTAAGAAGCTTCCAAGATATTTGAACTTATGCACCTGCTTCTTGTTTATACATTCAATTCATAACTCCCATCATGGCGGAGTGGGGGGGGGGTCTGTTGTTGATGAGCAAACATTCTGCCTTCTTACAACTGATAGTTAGCCTTTTTTTTTTTTGCTTACATCTACCAATCTGTCTCGGAGTTCCTGCAGATTCCTTTCCGGAGAAGCTACTACCATAATGTCGTTTGCGTATCTTATCCTTTCAAGGTAATCAGGCGGGAAAAAATAAGTATTTGATCAAGTAGTGTGCGATTGGCTGCGATGCTAGGCATGATCAAGTTCACTGAAAGCTTGTCACGTGCCGACAACGGAAATTGTCCCTATGATGGACGAAACGAAATTGCCTACTATCGAAGCTGTTATGGCCGCTGCCCAGGCGGACGACATGTTGGCACTTGATAAAATGCTCGCGTGTCATAAAGACAACGGGTTTGCCAACGACCTCTTCACGAGGAGATTTCAAGATATACAATGATTGATGCTTTGGACAATTGCCACAGAGGAGGGGGGATAGATAAGGCTCATGTCCTTCGTAATAACTCGAGGTCATAAATATTAATAAAAAAAAAATAAAGATATCTTTTTATCCCCTTTTTTAAACCCATTAGTAGGTGTGATTAATCTTTAATTGTGCAAATACTGAGATTGATTTTGATAATTGAAAAAGCGTATAGCATAGTGAGCGCGCGCATGCACACGCACACACACACACACACACACACAGACAAACAAACATATATAAAGGGTGTTCCAATTTGGACGGATTTTAAATGTGAATTAAGTTTAAGCGTCTAAAGTTTTTCTTTTTCTTTCAAGTCAAGTCTTTGGCAATTTAAACCATGGAAAGATTAACAATCCAACAACGTGTTAAAGTTTCAAGAGTGCAACTGGAAAAATTGTTCGTAAATTCAAACTGGGTCGGTGGTAGATGTGAAAACCCCATTGAGTGCTCGTTTATGCCGTTCAGCTGAAAACATTGCTGCAGTGTACGTGAATGTGGCCGAAAATTCAGACACCGCTATTCGTCATCGCGCACAGGAATTGAACCTCTCCACAACAACGGTTTCCAATTGCACTCTCGGTTGGTCGATTAGGTTGACCCCCAAAATCGCGAAGTGTGCGAAATGCATTTCTGTTTGAACGTCCATTTTTGTAATTGGCTTCGATAATTCTAACACTTTGTTTTATTGTTAATCTTTTCATGTTTGAAATTGCTAAAGACTTAAGTTGTTAAATCTGAAAGAAAAAAAATCATTAGTGGCTTAAACTTAATTTATATTTAAAATCGGTCCAAGTTATTGGCACTCATATATATATATATATATATATTGTGTATATTTAGGCATATTAGATTGGATTTAAACATGTATCAATATGGTGTTTTCCTTTCGTCTTTCAATGATAATATGATTAAGCTTATCAGACAATATGAAAGGAACTTACTTAAAATAAATAGACAAAACTTGTCTATATTATTTTTTTATCAAATAAATATGCATATATATATATATATATATATATATATATATAAATATGATGCCTCGGATCGGGAGATTGGAGGTTTTCAGGCGCGTGGAATTGTTGTTGTTCCCAAGTCCATTCTACCTCGGGGTGGTAGCACCTGCAAGGGTACCATCTATGGCCAAATAGAGAACCCCTACACAAAAGTCAACATTACATTTTTATAATAAAATTACCAACAATATATTTTATGATCTACAAAATATATATAAAAAAAACCAAAAGTATAAAATTATGTCAAAAATAATGGGAAAAAATTATCAGAAAAATTTACCGGAAAAATTTAAATCCTAATAAGAATAAACGAAGAAAATCAAACATAAGTAAAATATGAAAAAATTAAATAAACATTAATTAAAGATTAAGATGAAAAAGAAAATATTTAAAATTATCATTTAAAATTAACATAAAAATATTTAAGAGAAAAATTATTAAGAGACAGTAAATTATACAAAAACAGTTAAATTAAAACCGTCATTTAATAACTATGTTCATTAGAAATAAAATATAAAGAATAAAACCGATAAAAATATTTATGCATGTGTATTTTTATATTTTTTTATATTTTTATATTTTTATGTTTTTATATTTTTAATATTTCAATATTTTTTTTTTGTATATTTTTATATTTTTTATATTTCTTATATTTTTTATATTTTGATATTTTTTTTTTTTTTTATATTTTTAATATTTATATATATTTTCATATTTTTAATATTTATATATATTCATATTTTTATATAGTTGTATTAATATTTCTTTTCATAATTACTACATACTTGTCCTTAGATTTCTCTGAAAATATTTTTTAATATCTTATTGTATTGTTTTGTTTTTACCCTTCTTTATAAATTATATTTTTTTTGGAAAAAAAAAAACCAAAAAAAAAAACTACCGTTAGAACCTTTCGTTAAGTTTGAATTTCTTTATGTAAATTTTCCTTATTGAAAGAAAATATCTATCTATCTATCTATCTATCTATATATATATATATATATATATATATATATTTATTCAAAAAATATATATTTAAGTAAAACTGCGTGGAACTCAGTTACAGTTGTTGTTGCAGTACCTGAGCGTTTTTTTGGTAATGTTGCAGTTCTGTATTAGATTAATTTCTAGAGTGATGGAACACTTTTGTAGGTGTCTTTTTTCGACATTTTGCTTTCTAAGCTTTTGACTTTCTTGATATTCAAAGAAATTCAAAAAATTCTTAAATGCCGAGAAAGACTCAAAGTCTTAAAATCCATTATTATGCACCCCAAAAAAAAAAAAAAAAAACAGATTAAAAATAAAATATCTGTTGTGGATTCCGAGATGAAATTCGGTCTCCAATGAATGACAAACGCAGGAATTAAATATAAGAAATAAAATGTATTTACACAATAATACAAAGGGTAATACTGTTAGTAAATCCAGGAACGCGGTTAGTAGCAATAACATATAGATATATACAGTCTCGAAGTAAGAACTTCCTTAGAGTCTACATGCTTGTAACTGACTTCTACAAGCGGTTACCTCACACTATTACTCTACCTCCAACTCAATCACAATCTCTGTCTGTCTGTCTGTCTGTCTGTCTGTCTGTCTCTCTCTCTCTCTCTCTCTCTCACTCTATTCTGGCTGACTCTGGGTATTTAACGGCAGCAGTCCAAGTAACACTCTGGTCGAGTCCACTTATATGAAAAAGGGGAGGACCCCATAACAATATCTTTCAACACAGCTATTGTTTTGAAGTGTATATGATATATTTAATATGCGTATATAAAATTTTAAAAAATGTATCCTTTTTTTTGGCGCGACCTTGCTACAATTAACCGATACACACGAGGTCATCATGTCCTAATTTATTTTAAACTTTCTAAAGAATAGCAGGATGTAGCAAAAGGAATCTTGCTTACCACACAGTCACTACAGTGTTCTTGAAAATGACTGAACAAAACTGCAGCACAAATATGAAATCGGGCCGTTTATCCACAACTTCGATCCCATCTTTATACAAAATAATTTAAGAGGCAGACGTTATCGGTTGCATTTAGTTAAACTTGTTTATATATATATATATATATATATATATATATAAACTTATATCCTTGGCATGCTGTTGACCAAACTATTAATTCGCAAACTTAATGAAAAAAAAAATAAATGAAAGAGTAAAACCTTAATTTGAAAAGAAGACTCACAATGAAATATTAACAGACAAACCTGTCCTTAATATTTCAGTCGAGGTGTCGTTGCATCATTGTTATAATAAATTTAGAACGTGTTGGCATGAGATTAGATTTTAGCAAGTTATTTTCAAAGACCGTTTTACCGTAGCGGTAAAAATAGAGTTACACGTATGCCAATATCGGTTGCGCCAAAATCAACAAAAAAAAAAAAAAGAAAAATTATACAAACATTAATAGAAAACCGGTCCCCCATTTTATGTCCAATAGAAACTTTAATTACACTATATACTCGCGTATCATGCGACTTTTGAAGACCTAATTTTGAAGCTAATTTTAAAGGGAGTTGCGATATAAAATCAGCGTATGTACAGCTGGCCCAGACGACGCCGTTCACCAAACTATATATCTCCCATTAGACGAGTATACATAGTATGTTTCTAATTATAATAATATGTAGTAATTCTTGGGGGATCATTTTATTACTTACTAATATTACTTACTATTAACAGACAAGCGACCCCCACCAATTTATGTTCAATAGCAATTAGCTATTTAAATTATTATTACCGTCACCCCCACCATTACTACCACATCACAACTACTATTGCCATATTAGTCCGCAATAACCATTAACATAAATTACTTCTCCACCCGCCCCCAGCAAATTTAATACCACCGCATAAAAATAAGGATTACGAACTGAAATTTCTACCATTTACATCATCAAAAACAAGCAAATAACCGGCTTTAAAATAATAACAAATCAGGCTTAAAAAATTAAAAATAATAGCAATTTTTACCTATCATAGTTTTACACAGACCCCACCATACATATATAGGTGCGTGCGAGGAAATATTATTCAGCATAAAAATAGAGAAATGGGTTTGATTGTTGACATCGCTACATTAAAAAAAAAAATTGGCTTCACATCACATCATTGAAATTCAACAATTAAATGCGTATGTATGTAGACAACAGCACACATATACATATATATCAAGTCCCATACTGTCCACATATATTTATATTTGTGTGAGCTACGGTGGGCGAGCGCATGTGTATGTGTGTCTGCTTACATCAATGGATGTACAGGCATGCATGTATGCTTGCGTTAGCATGAGTGACGTCACGACGACAATTTTTCCCTTCCACTTCCATAAAAACACCAATTCACGCAACTTACATAAATCCAAAATTTAAAAAAAATTAATCAGTTTGTCTGATGATCGCAAAAGCATGAAACCCAGAGTCACAAACTCGCATCAATCCAACATAATATGTTAGTTCTATCTCTGATATTGAGCGCTTTCTAATAAGTACCACGCATATAATATATAAATAATATATATATATATATATAGATAGATATATAGATAGATAGAGAGAGAGAGATAGAGATAGGTATATATATATACACACTTTTCACACACACACACATATATATATCTTCTCTTGTATACATAAGGTTAGTAATGCAAAGCAGACGGAAAATTTTCACATTTACCTCGGCAGTATGAATTGGCTGGATTTTAAGTTTAGATTATATAGTTTTTTTTTATTGTGCATAGTGTCACCACAAATGTGTCCACACGTTCCCGGTGTTTGTTTTTTAATTTTAATTTTAGGTCAGCAAATCGGTAGCGAATTATGCATCTGAAAATAATTCATATTTATTTGTATCTCACTCATTTAAACCGTTATTTAACCCTACTTTTTAAAACTTCTCTCTAAAATGTTAACCCCCACCTTCACCTTTAGGCCTTCCTGTTCTTCTTTCTTCTGTTACACCCTCTCTCTAGAGCTTTCATACATTTCACTCTCACACTTTTTTCGCACTCCCACACATACACT